TACTGATCTAAGTTAAAATGGGTTGTTGGGTGGGCTGTCTATCATTGTCATCTGGGCATCCAGCTCAATTAGTTATAAGTACCTTAAAAATATGATGAGATGTGATAGTAATTACAGGGCTAACCCACTACCCTCTTCCCCCAAACAAGCACACATGCACACAAAGGTAAATGGGGCTTGGGAAATTTGTTGTTTATACTTAGTTGCTTGATCTGAAAGGGCCAGTAGTTATATGAGGCATTGGAAGAAATAAAGATTTTTATTAGTGAATTGGTCAATTTAAGCTTATTTGATTTTCCTGACAATATTTTCAAGGTCTGGTTTGTGTGTGAAGTGTGGGTTCGTGAAGGAGCTGGAGGAGAAGTAGCAGCATCATTAGTGTTTTAAGAAAGGAAGACTGAAGGTATAACCAGATGCTTTTCATACCCAGTAAGATGCATAATGGTTGGAAGCAGTCAATACAGTGAGCATGGGCTTTGAGATTAGATAGGCTTGGTTTTAAAACTGATTTTATCTCTTACCTATTTTTGGGCGGTTGTATAATATTGGGGAAGTTACTCCATTTCTCAACATGGGTTTTTTCTCTTTAAGAAGAGGGTGAAACCTACCTTATTGAACTATTTTGTCATGCGAAGTCTTGTCATGTATCACTGTTAATATTACTCTAAGGGTCAGCTTGTATGGACAACAAAGTAATGAAATTTTTTTTATTGTTTTGTTTTTCAGAAGTTGCTTTTAGAACTAGGCTCGCTATCTTATAGTCATTTTATTTAATACTTAAAGAAATTAACCTGATTCCATTTTCAGAAGAAATAGAGTTATTTGGAGTTATTTTACTTGGTAAAAAATCCTTTTTAAAAACACAGATAGGTTCAACTTTGAGTCGTAAGATTTTCTCCCTTCCTAAATTTTCTTTGGCAGTTAAGTTGCAAAATTTACTATTTAAAAAAAAATGATTTGCTGTAAAAAAGAAGAAAACTAGAAAGATATCTCACAATGTAAATACAAGCTGCTTAGGTTCAAATGCTTTTTGGAATTAGGTGGGCTATGAATCATATAAACAAAGGTAACTGTAGACATACCATTAGAAGGCTGTTGTATATATCCACACCTGCTTGCTTCTTTTACCTTTTCTTGTATTTCTTTGGTTCAGAGAATATGTAGCCTATATTTGGATAATGCCTAACTGAAAACTCTTATTCTGACCTCTGTATATAACTAATGAAGATTTTAATGTAAGATAATATTTTGATAGTGACAATTTCTCTTGTAAATTATGACATGGATTTTTGTTGTTTTATCCTTGAATATCTGTTCTTGAGGAGACTTATTTTAAGAAAGAAAAGGGGTGGGGGGAAAATAGCTACAGAATAGTGGAGAGTAGATTGTGGAGGGTGATGGCAAGAATACGTGCCATTCTACCAGGAACTTGTTTTTTAAACATAAAAAGCATATGTGCCAAATTTACATATTTACTAATTAAAAAGGCTTCCTGGAAACATTAAGTAGACTTATCTTCTATAACCTTTAACACTGTCACTAATGGATATTGCATAGAAAATTTCATCGAAGGTCCTTTAAATAATGTAAATGATTATGAATATGTAACTAGTTAATATGCAGCTACGAAAGGATTATCATGTAGAGGTTAATGAACATTCTGCTCTTATGGTTTGCAGGGCTTTTCTTTTTGTGCTTTTGGCTCACTTCATGCTTGGAAACACATGCATTGGGATTGGAAAGCACCCTGACTGTTTTTGGGTCTCATCTTTTAATGGGGTTGTTAAATAGAAACTTTATAAAAAGGGATTCATGAAGATTTTTCTCTTTTTCAATTTACATTTAATTCTGTTTGTCTATTTTATAATTACTGCCGAATCAGAAATAGTGAAATGGATTGATGTGGTTTTAGTCTAGCTCTTCCAGATGTAAAGTCAGTACTCTATTATATATTATCACTGTTATTAAGTGTTGCTCTGTGATTGATACTTACTGAGAGATCTTTATTCTAAGGCCTACTTTTTATGCTGAGTTAATGCGTAGTATGGTTGGATATCTGATTGCAGCATGTATTTTGGTACAGGATTGCTGCCTTAGTATTTAAAATGTCCTAAAGGAAGACATTTACTTCAGGAATTAAATGTTATAATAGAGGAATTTAGTGACAGGCCAAAAAAAAAAATTCTTGTGATTTTTGGGTGAAACATTGAGCTTATACAAGATACAATATGGGTATTTAGAACAGTGAACTAGAGCAGTGTTTCAGACTACATAATACTGCTGTCTTTTTCACGTGGCCTTATATTAAGCATTTGGTTTTTATCCTTTAGTTTCTCTGTCCTTAAAATGGTGTTACAGTATTTGAGATTATTGTTTAAACATTTTTATTAATGGGCAGTTTAAAAGCATGTTTAGTAATCTTTGAAAATGGTGCTATTTTTTAAATTGCCATTTTTTTTTCCATATTGGTTAGTGTTCTTAATTTGTCTTCTGACCATTTTGAGAATCTACTGAAATCTCGAAGGAAAATAAATAACTTCTATGCTTAATTTTGTTGTGTTGGTATTATAAACATAGTTTAAACTGGCCATGGAGT